ATATATATATATATATATATATATATATATGCATACTAACTACTACTATAAATAATGAGAAGAAAGTGAAGTTTTGAATTAATAAATTAAAAGTCATAAGGGGTTGTTACTTGTTTGGTTAATGGAAGAAGGTGACATATTAGATAATTAAGTTTGAATATTTAATTTAATCTTACATATTTATTTATTTCATTCAATTTGAGATTATTTTATCTCATCTTCTAAGTAAAATATATTAATTATAAAATTATAATTTTAAAATAATTTAATTCACGAATCAAAGATAGTAACTAAGAATTCTAGTGCAACCACGTGTCTTTGAAATTTCAAAAAAAAAAATTCCATATTGCATTATTGCATGTCATTTTCTCTATCAATCCTTTTCTTTTATCATTATGTCTATAGATTATTTGGACTTGTCTACTCTTATTAAATTAAAGTAAAATTTTCCTTTTTAGAAAGGGAAAAAAAGAAGATTTTTTTTACTATTAATGTTGATATTTAAAGCAAAAGCAATGAGGGAACTAGAAAGTTCAAAATAAATATAAATAAAATACAACAATGACATAATTTGAACTTTGACTTGAAGTTAACTTTGAAATAAAATCATTTGAACCTTTGAATTAAAATAATATGAACCTTAAATTAAATTGAACCTTGGAAGAAGATTAGTCTTTATTGAACCTTTGGATTAATTTAAAATAATATAGTAATCTATATTTACTTGTCACAGTTTGATTTGGTATATTTATTAATAAAAATAATAAATGATACAAATATTTTATCACAAATTATTCTCTATCAAATAATGCCTTGGAAAAATAATTTGAAAAATATGTATTTAATGTTGAGCGTAAAATATGAAAAAATAATTATTTTCTTTTCATGATATGTCAAAAATGACAAGTAAAATTAAAAATTTATTTTAAAAGTAAATGACAAGTAAAAGTAAACGAAGGAAATATTAAATAATTATTAAAGGTGCAATTCAACAATAGTTGTAAGTGTAGAATTTTTCAAATCATGAATAGAATTTATTAGGTTTTGAATCTTGAATTTAAGATTAGTAATCTCACCGTCCGTTCTTACTTGTCCACTTCTGAATTGGTACTTATTAAGAAAATTATTAATGATGTAGTGAGTTTACTATTTTACCCTTATTAATTATGAAGTGGATGAAAAATTCTATATTTTTCAACATAATTAGTCATATAATCGAGGGTACAATGGGTAAAAAGAATTTTGCTTTCTTGATTTGTCGAAAATGGACAAGTAATTAAAAACAACTGTAAAAAAAAAGTGGACAAATAAAAATAGACGGAAGTAGTATGAAGTGTTGGATTTCAAATTTTTTATAAAAACATATTAATATTATTTTTTAAAATGTATTAGTAATTATAAAGTATTAAGAAAAAAAATTAAAAATTTTAGTTTTTCTTAATATAAAAAGTTTGTTATCTATATATTAAGATTTAAAATAGGCTTCCCGCCTTCTTTCATCACCATTTCAAATAATTACACTATACTCTCGTTCGCGCGCATAGCGTGAGCTTAGTGCATAATGTTACGCGTAAATGGGCGGCGAATAGTTAACATAAGTTGGAATTTTAGCCAAGAACCTTACTATAATTACATTTGGATTCTTGATGCCTGCATAGAAACTAAGCAATTAGTTATAGGCAAATCAATCCATCAGCATATCATCAAGCACAATCATTGTAACGACAATCGTTCGAATTTATTAGATAAGTTAACGCGATTTTATGTTTCGTGCAGCAGAGTTGATCTTGCACGCCAAGTGTTTGATTCAATTCCTGAGTCAGATAGAAATGACAGAGTTATATTATGGAACCAAATGATTAGAGCTTATGCTTGGAATGGACCCTTTGAGAAGGGTATTGATTTGTATTATGAAATGGTGGAGTATGGTATTAGACCGACGAATTATACATACCCTTTTGTGATTAAGGCTTGTTCTGCTTTGCAAGATGTAGAAAATGGGGAAAAGATTCATGAACATGTGAAAAGGCAGGGGCTTGATGGTGATGTTTATGTTTGTACAGCTTTGGTTGATTTTTATGCAAAGTGTGGGTTGTTGGTTGAGGCACGAAGAGTGTTTGATGGAATGTTGAGAAGAGATATTGTGGCGTGGAATGCGATGATTTCAGGGTGCTCGGTGAATGGTTTGTATTTGGAGATGAAGGGTTTGGTGTTGGAGATGCAAGAAAATGGGTTAACGTTGAATTCGTCTACAGTTGTGGCGATTCTTCCTGCAATTGCGGAAGCTAATAAGTTGAGTGAAGGGAAGGCTGTTCATGGGTTTTCTATGAGAAGGGGGTTTGTTAATGATGTAGTTGTTGATACTGGTATTTTGGATGTGTATGCAAAATGTGGTTTGTTGAACTACGCGAAGAGGATTTTCGGAGTCATGAGTTTGAAGAATGAGATCACGCGGAGTGCGATGATAGGAGCATACGTAACATGTGATTCTACTCAAGAAGGATTGGAACTGTTTGAGCACATGAGGACGGAAGATACTGAGTCTCCGTCTCCTGTCATGCTTGCCACTGTAATTCGAGCTTGTGCTAAGCTGAATTATATGAGAAGAGGAAGAAAGATGCATGGTTATACTGTTAAGTTAGGGTCCTATTTGGATTTGATGGTGAGTAATACTCTTCTTTCTATGTATGCAAAGTGCGGGAGAATAGATGATGCGCTTACCTTCTTTGAGGAGATGGATTTGAAAGATTCTGTTTCTTTCAGTGCGATAATTGCAGGGTGCGTCCAGAATGGACATGCAGAAGAAGCTTTGCAGATTTTACGAATGATGCAATCGTCTGGTGTTGAACCAGAATCTGCAACAGTGATGGGAATTTTACCAGCTTGTTCACATTTGGCAGCTCTACAACTTGGCGTTTGCACCCATGGTTACTCGATTGTGTGTGGATTTACAGAGGATGTTTCTGTATGTAATGCTCTAATTGACATGTATTCCAAATGTGGTAAAAACGACATTGCTAGGATTGTCTTCGATAAGATGAATAAAAGGGATGTCGTCTCATGGAATGCAATGATTGCTGGATATGGAGTTCACGGTCGTGGAAAGGAAGCAATATCACTGTTCTATGACATGCAGTCTATAGGTCAAATACCAGATGACATAACTTTTATTGGTCTCTTATTTGCTTGCAGCCATTCAGGTCTTGTTGCTGAAGGGAAATATTGGTTCTTAAGAATGTCCGAAGAATTCAAAATTAGCCCTAGAATGGATCATTACTTGTGCATGGTGGACCTTTTGGGACGTGCTGGTCTTCTGGACGAGGCCTATGGTTTCGTCCAGAATATGCCTTTTATACCTGATGTGCGTATCTGGAGTGCCTTGCTTGCCGCGTGTAGAATCCATAAACATATTGTTCTAGCAGAAGAAGTATCCAATAAGATCCAATATCTAGGACCTGAAAGTCCGGGTAATTTCGTTCTTTTATCTAATTTATATACTACTGCTGGGAGATGGGATGACGCTGCTCATGTTAGAGTTAAGCAGAAGGATTCTGGCTTTAAGAAGAGCCCCGGATGTAGTTGGATTGAAATAAATGGTGTTATCCATGCATTTGTTGGTGGGGATCAGTCCCACCCTCAGTCCGCTAAAATAAATGAGAAACTGAAGGAACTTTCGAAAGAGATGAAAAAGCTGGGGTATAGTGCAGAATCCAGTTTTGTGTACCAAGATGTGGAGGAAGAAGAGAAGGAACAGATTCTTCTTTATCACAGCGAGAAGCTTGCTGTTGCATTTGCGTTGCTAAATCTGGATCCTAGCAAGTCCATACTCGTTACTAAGAACTTACGAGTTTGTGTTGACTGCCATAGTACAATGAAATATATAAGTCTAATAACAAAAAGAGAAATTACAGTGAGGGATGCTAGTCGATTCCATCATTTCAGAGATGGAATATGCAGCTGCGGAGATTTCTGGTGAAGAATGACTGGAACTGTGTTTCTTATTGTTGCTTGACGGTATGTACTAATGCAGCATTACCTATCTAAACTAGGTCGTTGAGGCGTATTCAAAGATGATATCTTGGCTGCATGTTCTGTTTAGACCATTTTGAGGGTCCTCGAATTCACGAGTACATTAGTTAGCAGATTTTGACAGAACATTTCATATCTCAGATGAACACGCAGATAAACTTTACATTGCAGTAAGATGATTCGTCAGGAAGATTTGTCGGATGCAGCATACACTGCTCTGATCAGTAACATCCTGGAGCTTCTTAGAACCTACACCATTGTTGCCACATGCATCAGTGATCAAAGTTTTCGATATTATGAACTATGAATTCTGTTGAAACTTTGGCAAATGACGGATTTATGCCATTATACAGCATGCACTCCAAGCTGTTAAAAGGATAGAGTGAGATGCATGGATGCCCCTGTGCGGAGATATGAGAAGTTGGCTATGGATGGTTTTTCAAGAGAGGCAGAGGTAGGCCGAAGAAATATTGGGAAAAGGTGATTAGACAAAACACGGTGCAACTTCAGGTTACCGAGGACATCACGTTAGATAGAAGATTATGGAGGACACGGATTAAGGTAGAAGGTTAGTTCGTTGTTAGAGTATAGCTTTGCTTATCCTTCCATACTAGTCGTCATAAATATATTACCCTTCATTTAAGGTCTTGTTCCTTCGATTTTTGTTACTATCTGTTGTCCCATGTAATTTGTTCATCGCCCCACTCGTGAAATTAAAACACCGAATTTCTCCCCAAACCCCACTCGTGAAATTAACAATAGCAAAAAAGTCTATATACAAACTACTCTCCGCAAACCCTAATTGTGAACTACCGTACCAAAAAAGTTCCGTTACCGGGAATCGAACCCGGGTCTCCTGGGTGAAAGCCAGATATCCTAACCGCTGGACGATAACGGAAGTTGTTGATAATAAACTCCAAATTATATATCTAATTTTCTCGTTTGGTTGATAAATGGTAGACATCTTCTAGAATGTATACTAATTTTTATTGCGTTGTCAGTGTATAAAAGTCAAATTCATAGATTAAGATACAAAAAATGAATATCTAGTGAAATCTCTTAGGTAGAATTTAGGGAGGGTAGAATATACTCAAATCTCATAATGTATACCTGTCTCGTAAAAATAGAATGGCGTTTTTCAAGCTTCTTATGATATTGATAGTAAAATAGAATCATCATCATTTGGTTGTCTGCCTTAGTAAGCAGTCAACCAAAATTCCGAGGGTTAGTGGTGCACGATCAAAACTCGATAAATAATGAATCACAACTCACACCTAGTGAGGAGGATTTTTCTATATCGAGCAACTGATGATATCATTGAAAATCATTTTTCAGGTATACGCCAATCACACACATGACTTTTTTATTAGGTGACGATGAAACCATCCAAAACAAAAGAAAAATCAGGCTAGAAAATGACTCGTAATTAGTCTTATACATTTCATGCGTAAAGTTAATATTAACGAGTTACTGAAAAAGGAAAACAGAACAAACAAACTGAAACGGAGGTTAATGCAGTTCTCTGATTGCAGCAACAAGAGTCAGATATTATGGAGCAAAATATCATAACAAAACTAAACATACCAAATTTATAGAGCAAAATATTATTGCATTACTTGTATCAATATGATGTTTTCCAAATGAACCAAAAGAAAACATGGTGTTCATCACTGAAGAGTCTGTACAACAAGATCGTCAAAACGCCATTGCCTCGATCTAAGTGTTGATGCTTATCTACCACAAACCGATTCCATGTCCATCGATAGAACTCTCCAAGCTACTCTTGGAAAGTTAACCATCGATGATCATGCAGACGCAAGACAACCTTCATAAAAACTTGTCCACAGTAATAGATGTTAGCTGCCAGAATAATGAGAACTTTATTATTCGGAGAGTGATCAAAACTTCTAGTTCTACGAAACTCACTGCCACCGTCAATCTTGTAAAAATAGTTGATACCATGTTTTTCACATCTGTGTCTCGGTTTCTTCCTTCAATCCGTTTCTAAATTCTGCATAAATGTTTCACCGGGACCCTAGGATTTGATAATTTTTTCCCCAGATGCACAAACAATCTGCATATCAACTTCAGTACTCCACTTCTCACACAAAGTACTTCCAGGGAAGGGGTAAAAGAATGGATCAATGTCAAAAGGAAAGAATAATTGAGCGGATTATAATTCCGTTATCTTAAAACCTAAAACTAACTATCAAAGAGATGAAGTCACTGGCCCAACCTGGAAATATACATGCAGTAGGAAGGAAACCAAACAAACCAAGGCATGCATCAGCTAATTCAAGCCGAGTCCTCAGCTTCTTCATCGGAAGTACATGGAGTAATAGTAGCTTCAGCAAGAGACTCAAGCATAAATCTAACCTCTGAAGTGTCGTCCAAATAATATTTAGCCTTGCTTGGTTTTTGTCCAACTGTGCAGGCAAATACTTTGGTATCATAAGAAAGAATATTTCTGGATAAAGCATCACCGATGATCTCAAACATGTCCTCATCAGATCGATCGTCACCAATGCAAAGCACAAAATCTGCAAGCTTTCCTCTCTCTACCAAGGATGTGAAGATCTTTTCTGCTACTAAACCTTTGCTGACCCCCTAGAAAGGAAAATGAGAAAATTAAGGTTTTACTCGGACCATGTGTCAGGAACAATAATTGAATGACTGCAATCTACCATAGATGGATAAGTCAAACATCATCAATACAAAGATAATTCTAGACATTCAGAATTATAGAATGATCATCCAGACACCTTCAAAATTTATGTGTCACGTCAGCATCGGGTATCTACAAGACAGTGGGGATGAGTTAAAGGATTTAGTTGCCAATGAGACCAAGTTAAGGTATCTAGATGTGCACTCTCAAAGTTGGAGTGCTTACTCGCCAGCTGAGGCCAAGTTCGTTTGTTTATGCACTATGCCTATATAAAATTAATAGGCATGAAAATGATGTTCAGTCATTTACTTATCATCTTAGCCAGGCATACCATAACTATGTACATTGACACAGTACAAAAAAACAATGATTTGCTGCTGTGTCATATCACTCATTACCAAAGGCTGCTGCTTCATATCATTCTCAGATGCGAAGAATGCAATTCCAGTTCTCGATCTAAGATTGACATGAAATTATTAGAAAATAGGTGTGTTATCATCTGAAGAAAGATGTCATGAACATGCTAGGATTTCGCTTATATAACGATACCACTTACCCATTTGATGAAAGAAAATCCTGAATTATAACAACAGATAAGAATGAAACAACCAATGTGGTAACTGGGGTAAGTATACATGCCTGAGGTTTGACTTCCACAATGAACTGCCCACTTTTCACAGCAACAGGTTCATTTGCTAAAACACTCTCTAGATGATCAAGCATCTCCTTTGCTTGAGAAAACCCAAAGCCAGGATCTGCATCACGGTACTGCCACACTATAGCGCTTTCCTTTTTTTCAATGCTAGAGCCATCTGTAGAATCTGTATAGGACTGCATTACTGGCTCAGCAAGATGCATCCAACCAAAATCAGAGTTCTGACTGCATGTTTCCCATTCCTGATCTTGCGACCATCTGTGGCATCAAAAAATTAAAACATCAGCGAGAACTCAAAGGAGCCAAAAGGTGACCTTTGGGGCAACAAACCTCCAACTGAGCACCTCTAATACAAAGAGGTGGCCCATGAGCCATGCAAACAAATCCTATAGGTACTTCACTACAGTTGGACCAAAAATCCCCCAACTGAAACGCTCAAACTCGGCATAGGGTAAGCAAACAAGTTTGAGCTCATGTTAATCATGTGGTCTGCTTACCAAATTACAACAAAAGAAAGCAAAGTATGTCAACAATAATTTTAAATGCTTATGTGATCAAAAGAAATAAAAATATCAATTCCAAACACTTCTTTCGAAAAACATTTCAAACTATCAAATGCAGATCACAAAAAGATAACATAATAAGAATAGAAGGTGCAAAACCTAGACTTTAAAAAGAAGCTACACAGAACATCAACTGGACCTCTTCAGATGGAACCTTTTGCCAACTACATTTGATCCCTAATTATTAAGACACTGAATATACAAATGTCTTAGCTATATATGTTCACTAAAGGCTTGGACAGATGGGGAAAGATCACCTAGTATTTTGGCACACTCTACTGGGATTTTAACCAGACACATCATGTTCTCAACCCACTTTATTGACCACTGAGCCACACCCTTGGCTGCCTATGTATTCATATTATATTAGTAATAGTAGAAGAAAAGACTAGTATTATATTATTGATTTTTTTTTAAACATGTCAGCCATAGCCTTTACCAAAGCTTTTCACCCTTAGAAGTGTGTCAAGAAAGTATATTCCATTAATTGGACGTGAGTACTCAATTATCTCACATTTTCTTCATAGCAAGTTTACTCTTTTGTCATTATACCTTACATAATGCTGTTTACTTGAAAAGCCAGAAAAATGAGAATGAAACCAATCCGGGGAACAGTAACCATTCTATAGCAAACAGCCTCAAACAAAATGGTGATCCATACTGTGTAAAATATGTAATCGAAACAGTTTGCAGTCAAACGACCACCATGCATGAAAATGTCATTAATAGAACGTATATTTTAAAGGGAAAGTTACCCTTTTCTCAAAAACAAAAAAACGTATATTTTAAAGGGAAAGAGAATAAAAGCACACCTCAAGAAGTAGCCATGTTCTGCTGCAAGACCCAACTTCCTACAAGGAGAAAACCATTTATCCAGGCTGTCCCTTCCCCTTCCACTAACAATAAAGACAGCGTTGTTTTGATCAGCACAAATTCTGTTCAGGATTGAGATAACTTCAGCACTTGGAGACTTGATGATAGAGTTCTGAGGCATCATAGTTCCGTCATAGTCCAAGAATATGGCCCTGCTCTTAGACTTAATATAAGCTGACTCAATATCATCAATAGAAAGCTTCCTAAAGTTCGGATCTAGGGCCACAACTCTGAATCCAAAACCCAAACCAATGCCATAGCATCTTTTTCTAAAGTGATCTATACAGGTCCTCTCCATATCCTGCAAGAAGCTTCTTGCCCAATAACCAACATCATGGGTGCTAACATAACGATAATGCTTTTCATGTCGTAGCTGCTTCTCTGGTTCAGCCATAGATATAGCCTCATTCATTGCCTCAGCAGTTGCTTCAACATTCCATGGGTTGATGCGAATTGCCCCACTAAGTGAAGGTGAACACCCAATGAATTCAGATACAACTAACATGCTCTTCTTAGGTCCATCCACATCTGAATCAGCTTCTGAACCAGACATGCCCTGTCGACAAGCAATATACTCATAAGGAGTTAGGTTCATCCCGTCCCTCACAGCTGTGACAACAACACATTCTGCAATACTGTAATAAGCCATGCGTTCACTGCTTGATATAGGCCTATCAATATAAACTACAGGTTCATATCCAGGCTGGCCGAATTGCTTATTGATTCTCTTACAGCTTTCCAGTATCTCCGCCTGTATTTCCTTTAAATCTACTCCTTTACCCCTTGTAGGATTTGCGATCTGAACCAGCACAGCCTGCCCTTGCCACTTGGGGTGCTGTCCGAGCATGTGTTCCATAGCTAGAAGCTTTAAATTAATACCTTTGAAAATATCCAGGTCGTCGAAACCAAGCAACACAGTTTTTCCTTCAAATTGCTGCTTTAGCTCCTTAAGCTTTGACTCTTTAGTTGCAAGTCTCTTCATGTTCTCAATGTGACCCATATGTATTCCAACAGGCATAATCTTGATGCCTACTGTCCTACCATAGTATTCTAACCCTATATAACCTCTTTTAGACTGATACTCTAAACCTAACATCCGACTGCAACAAGAGAGGAAGTGTCGTGCATAGTCGAAAGTGTGGAATCCAACAATGTCAGCACAGAGCAAAGCCTTGAGTATTTCCTCTCTAACAGGAAGAGTCCTGTAAATCTCAGATGAAGGAAACGGACTGTGAAGGAAAAACCCCATCCTCAAACGATTGAACCGCCTCCTTAAGAATGTAGGCAACACCATCAAATGATAATCATGAATCCAAACAAAGTCATCCTCGGGATTAAGAACCTCAACTACTTTCTGTGAAAACAGCTTGTTAGCAGACACATATGCTTCCCACATAGAGCGATCAAACCGGCCTCCATGATCAGGTGAAAATGGCAACATGTAATGAAAAAGTGGCCACAAATGCCTCTTACAAAACCCCTCATAATATTTTTCCACAATATTTGGCGGAAGAAATGCAGGAACACATCTAAACTTCTCCAACAGATAACTAGACACGTCATCCTGTTCAATCGGATCAATATCAACACATAACGACCCAACATATATCACTTCCATGTCTTCAGGTAAACCATCCCTAAGTCTCAAAAGTAACGAGTCCTCATTCCAATTAAAGCTCCAGCCTTTATTGTCTGGTCTCCTTTTTGCTTTCAGGGGCAACAGATTTGCCACCACAATCATCCGATCACCAGCCAGCGAAGACGGATTCTCAGATGAAACACTATGAGCCTGGTCATCATCCATCTCACATATACTCCCAGGTAGTGTCATCACCCTTGGCATCCGTCTCCGGTCCCTATCTCTTCCCATTGTCGGAAAATTCCCAGAAGCCAAATCCAAAAGGTTGGTATACGATCTCGAAATCATTTTTACTAATATTCTTCAGTGTCTTTCCAATGCCACCTCAACCCCTTAATCAGGTAGTTCTTAATTACCTGAAACAAACATCAAACAGTACAAGTTACAAATAACAACAGCAACAACAAGAATACTCAGTCCCAAACTAGCACAGTCGCTCTATATGATCCCTCTAATATTCATTTTTCCTTTTTCAGCCTAATTCATTCCAATAAAACAAATGACACTACGACTTTACATACAACTAGCTCAAACATAAAATCCTAGCCCAACATATCCTAATTTTTCAAAAAGGGCAGGCCCAGTACACTAAAGCTCCCGCTATGCACACGTCCAGGGAAGGAACGGACCACAAGTGTCTATTATACACCGTCTTACCCTACATTTCTACAAAATGCTGTCACATACCATAAATCCAAATCACAGGAAAATATAGAAAGAAAAATAACCGTTAATTGAAATAAATCAAACTGAACCCAAATGATCTTTAAACTACGCCACAATATCAAAATCCAGCATTCCAAAATCTTAATTTTCAGATAAATTAAACAAACAAAATCACACAAAGCACGTAAATTCTTTGGGAGAAAATCAAAACCCACCTCAGAGATTCAATTATCAGAAACCCCTTTGAATTCTTGGCAGCAAAATGATTCAAAAGACTCGATCTTGCAAGTTCAAGATTGGCTAAATTCTAGGGTTTGAACAAGTGCAAGTTCATAATTTTTTGTGTTTGTTGTTTAATTTTTTTTAAAAAAAATACAAAAAATAAAAAAGTGATCCAACAATATGTACAAAGGAAAATGTTGGATAATGAATATACAAATAATAATAATAATAATAATAATAATAATTATAATAATAATTATTATTGATGAATATAATTTAGTATAGGTGATAATGGGTGACCATGAAAACACAAAAACATGAGCTTTTTAATTTTAGACCATTTAGTTTATGGTGCCCATTTCTATCACCAAAGGTTAAAGCCACCTCCAACTTAGAAAAAAAAAGAAAAAGAAAGACACAAAAAGGAAAATTAGACCATACATCTTTTGTTCTTTTTCATGTTCATAATAATAACAAAAAATGGTCAAAATTATCCTTTTGAATTATGTGAAATAGATTATTTATATTCTTCGTTATATTTTGGGATAAAAAATGTCCCTACACCCCATATTTTTATTGACTTGGCAAGTCTCGTGGGGCTAATCCTTCCACCTAAGCATTGTCAACTAGGATTCATTACAAAAGAACTAGACATTTAATAGCGACAATAGTCGCCACAAAAGCCCAAATAATCATCACTAAAAGTTTTTAACATAAAATTCTAAAATTTGGGTTTTTCTTGGAATAATGCACAAATACCTCCTCAACATATGCCTAAAATTTCAGAGACACACTTATACTATATTAAGGTTTTATTATCCCTAACTTATTTTATTAATAATTTCTACCCCTTTTGGGCTTACGTGGCACTATATTGTGGGACCAACGTTGGTTGACTTTTTTTTTTCAAAATAGTGTCACGTAGGCATAAAAGGGGTAGAAATTGCTTATAAAATAAGTTCAGGGGTGATAAGACTTTAGTATAGTATAAGTGTGTCTTTGAGATTTCGGGCATAGCTTGAGAGGATACTTGTACATTTTCTCTTTTTTCTTCATTATTTTTTAAAAAACAAAAATTATATTGATTATGTAGGAGTTTGAAGACACTGTATGTTTTATTTTTTATTTATATGTCAATGTATAAAATGTACAATGATGCGTTATATAGTAGGAGATGTGAATCGAGAAGTAATTTTCATGATTTCGACATAATATTGGGTGTTTTTAACATTAATATTGTAAGTTATTTATTTTAGAAAAGTAGGTTTCAATCGAAAATTAATTATCATATTTCTTTCATTGAAATAACAGATTTTACTATTAGTCGTCACTAGAAGTCACTCATAACCTTAAGTGGCAATATACTTTGTCGCCACTAAAGATCAAGTTCTTTTGTAGTAAATCTTAGTTGGCAACACTTAGGTGGAGGGATATTAGTCTCATGTGGCATGTCATGTCACTAAAAAATTGGGGTGTTAACTCTTGAGGGTATTTGTAGTCTCCTAAGATACAACGGAGGTATTTTTGATCCCAAAATATAATAGAGGGTATAAGTGATCTATTTCGCATAGTTCAGAAATAATTTTGACCCTTTTCAGTAATAATAAAGATGTCTTATCTAGCCCGCCAAAAGTTTTGGATTTGAGTCTTAGATATGAAAATATATTTGGTATTGGCTATTTTTCTTTGAATGGAATCTTATATGGAGCGAATCTGAAATAAGCGAACTTCAATATGCAATTCAAAAATTTAAGGTTGTGAGTACTCAAAGAAGATTTCGTCTTTAATTTTTTTAAAAAAAATATCATAAGGGAATCAAACCTGGGCATTGCAGTTGCAATGTACAACTTTGAGCACCCCGCAAACGACTACTAGATCAAGCAACTACTTTTACGTAGTTGGATACGAGATTAATGAATGTTCAAGCACCCAAAACCTTTAATGTGGATCTTCTTCTGTCAATATGAAAAGCGGATATCGTATGAAAAAACAAAAAATGTATATCTTAAATATTTATACTATTAAATTATGTAAGTTTATTATAATTAAGTGACTTAATGAGATAATAATGCATATTAAAGTAAATCATGATTACATGTTAAAGGGTTATGTATAACCTTATTTTGCTTTTTTATGCGAATAAATTCTCACTTAATTTTGTGTGTATTTTCATCAAAATCATTATGATACAACTATATCTTACATCATATAATATTATTCCCTCTATTCATTTTTATAAGTACGTACAATTATCTATATTATATTATTTTCTCAATAATAGTTTATAGAGATGAAATACCTAAAAGAAGGGTAAAGGACAAAAGTCATATACGACAGAAGTCATATACTTTTAAGGTAAAATATATTATTTGTTCTTTATAAGTTTATAATTATAAAAAAATTTCGAGTTGATACAATAATATAAGCACTGATACACTAATTTGATGCGCGAAATACATTAATCGTTAAGTAAGATACATTACATTTTTACATGATACACTAATCTAAAGTACATTTTATGCATGATACACTAATTTGATGCACTGATACATTAATTTAATGCGCGAAAATGAGAGATACTGAGAACTTGTAAAACTAATAGGAGATAATGGTAATAAGAAAACTTAAAGGTGAAATTTATGTCATTTAAAATCTCTAAATGTAAAGATTTATGATTTGGCCTATTTAGACGTTGTCATTTAAACAATAATCATTATTTAAAGTTTGTGCACAAATAATTAATATGAACCTTGTAAGCAAATTTTAAGACAAACTTGGTCCTCCTCCTTCACTATTTAAAAAAATTTGGAACTAAGGACAAATAAATTTCTTGCTAAATAGAAAAAGTCATCGTTAATTTTATTTAACAATGAATTAACGGTATATTTTATTAGCTACGAGCGAAATAATGATAGATTAGCAACAAAATTTATAGCTAATTTCAATTTTTTTAGTAGTCTTAGACCTTTTTAAAACTTTGCTTGATATTGATTAACAAAAGCTTTACTATATGTTTTGGTTATTTTTATTGTAAAATTGAGGTTTGAATGATGAAACGAAGATAAAAATGTCTTTTAAATTTAGAATTGACAAGGTAAAGTTCAACTAAAAATATCTAAAGTTTGAGATCCTCAAGCCAAACTTTTTTAAAAAAAAATAATATGAAAATTTGAATCTTAATTATTCCTGTATAATTCATTAAGCATGTTTTTTAAGGCTTGAATCTTAATAATTCATATTTCAATATTGAATCATCAAATTCATTTGATTCGTTCTTTTCTTATACATTAAAAGTTTATTGTGGTTGGACTTCAGTTATTTTTGGTCTAAAGTTTATGTTCATATGACTGAAGTTCATATAAAAATAACTAAATTAACTTCACATATATATATATATCTGAACTTTAGTTATATATATCTAAAGTTATCTTGTATTAAGTATATGTGCAAAATTCGATTATAAATCATTCGAAAATAATACCATCTACTAATTAAATCACAATTGTGGTCCTGAGAGATTATGTTATGCATGAAAAGAAGATGAGAGATTATGTTATGCATGAAATGAAGATGAAATTGTATAAAATTTTAAGTTAAATAGGGAGATGTGCAAATAATATAAGTACTTTTTTAAGCATAAATTTAAAGGAAAAATTGTATATAATAGCAAATTAATAACCTAAAATAAATAGAATAGCTAGGGTTTGATTTAATTGTGCTCCATAGCAAACGTTAGCTAAAATTTGCCAGCGTCTCTCTCCCAGAAATCTCGCTCGCCACTCTCCATTCTCGCTCGCCTCTCTCGCTTTATACACAGAAGTGTATAATTATGTTTCTGTTTTGTATAAAGCGAGAGAAAATTATATATACACATGCAAAAATATATATCTTCGTGTTATACGCTTAATTATACAATTTACAAACATTTTACTGCAAATATTGCAGAGAAAAAGGCCAACGAATTATACAATTGCAGTGAAATACAATTTTCTCTAGCTTTATACAACAGAAGTGTATATATTGTGTTTCTGATTTTGTATAAAGTGAGAAAAACATATATCTTCTTGCTATACACTTAATATTATGCAATATGCACACATTTTAATTCGATTCAACTGTATGCCAATCAAATTATACAATTGCAGCGAAATAGGCCAGCGAATTATACAATTTAGGCCAGCGAATTATACAATTGTATACATATAGCGAATTATACAGCTTTATGTTTGCTATGCAGCGCAATTATGCAAACTTTACTATAGCATACAAATATGAATTTTTTGTTTGCTATATGTGAAAGTTGCCCAAATTTAAATTAATCAGATTTTTTAAATAAATGTCAAACAATGAATAAAAATCAAAAGAAATTAGTGCCTCTTGTTTTGCCTCTTGTTTTATTTTACTTTTTTGTTAATGCTTTTCTTTTCCAGGGTTCAAATTTAAATAAAATAAAAAATAAAACTCCTAACGTGATTTACATATATAAATAATATAATGATATAAAAACTTTCAAATAACCAAAGGACCACAATCTCTTAAAAAGTGTACTTATTTATTATAATATATACAATTTATTACCCTAAAATAAAATAATCAACAAACTTTATTATTTTATTATATTTTATATTATATAAAGAAACATCACTCCATCATAAACAAAAAAATATATATTTTCAAATAACGAAATAATTAATATGATAATTTTGAGATATACAATAAAAATATGAAAAAAAATTATTAATAACTTGTTATTTGTGTTACATGTCTTACTTCTATAGATAAAAAAAATTATTAAGTATCAATCATTTATTATCATAAAAAATATTATTAAAATCGTACTATTAGATATAATGTGGTATCATTTATTTATTTATTTATTTATGAATTAAATTTTTTTTAAAAAATACATAAAATTATTATATATTTTTGAGATTTATATTTATTTATCGTTATATTTATTTTTTTTCCAGTTAAAACACGGTTTAATGTTTAGTTGAATGACTCTCATCAATTGAGAACGATAATTTAGCCAACTTAATATTGATGGTGACAACTTTAATGATAATTTTACAATATTATCTGATTACGATAGTTGATATAGCGTTCGTCAGTAATATATATAATATTAATTTTAAAAAAATGTTAAAGTTTATTCGAAGTAAATAGCATATTGTTGATTTTATAATCCTATACACGATCTGAATGAATTTGTTGAAAGAAAATTAATAAGTAATTGTAGAAAAAGTAGGCGTTTTAAAATTAAATCTTTTAATATATTTTTTTCATCTTGCAAAATGTAAAACATGTGTATAAATTTTAAAAATG